GGGGAGTTGTTTGATCAAATGAAAAATATCAGTCATCAACAATCAAACAATACTAATATGTTCAGTATTCTTAACAATTTAGATGATCAGGTATTGACACGCAGTATCGCTGAAATTATCAGTTATTGGTTGTGTTGAGTTAAACTTGGCACAAATCCTACCATATGTGGCGGGGTCACAAGGCTTCGATAAACTACATGAATTTGTATTACTAAACCTTCTAGAGCAAACTCAAGTTATATAGACGACAAGCGGCCGAAAATTTTCTTCGCCTTCATCGCTAGGCTTACATTCTTCTTTCGAGAGCTGAAAATAACTAAATATTAATGTTGGTATGTTTCTGTAAGTGCATTTTTTTGACAAAGGTTCAGATCGTTTTTTTTAAATCATACCTATTTTATAGAGCATCAGATGTGAGTCAGAAAGAGGAAGTAGTAAAAGTTTTTCACACTCTTATCTATCATCATCATACAATTAGATTAGATCAATACTTCGCATTTATTTGTATTTATTCCAATGTACAATTGAACCAGAAATATATTTTTCAAATTATACAACTGTATGTTTTAGATTTATTTGTATTAGTAATATGATTTTGATCGTCCCATATACTAAAACCAGAACATAAATCATGAATCATCCAAGCAACAATAATTTCATCAGCATGTTTAGAATTCTTTTCTGAGAATATTTCCTGAGAAATATGATGAAAATCAGAATATTCTTCTCTATTGTCATTATTCTGTTCTTCCATGGATGAATTCACAAAGGAAATATGTTTCGAATCTTCTGATAGAAACCATTCATTCTGTAAAATATTAAAATGATTTGGAAATATTGTGTATAGTATTGAGAAAAATCTTTTATGATTTATAATTGATTTCCATAATGGTTCGATAATTCTAATTTGTTCATTTAATAAAATATCACTTAAACATGGATGTTCATTAGTCATTGATATCCATCCATTTTCTTCTTTTTTGTCATGATATGGATCTCGAAAGTTTTGAAAGATTGCTTCCCAATCCCATAATTTCCAAACAATTTTAACAATTTCACCATCTTTGTCAACAATCATAGAGTCTTTCCAATAGAGATCACTAGACAATAAGCATAATTTTGAATCAATATCTGCTTCTTTCATTACCATTTTCATATATAAAATAGTCTCTAAATCTTCTTGATCATTATTATCCATTAATATATGAATAGTAGTTTTTATATTTAGTCTTTTCCATTGTCTTACTAAAAGACGATGTAATTGAAAACTCGATATAAACTCATAATCGAGATTCATAGCTTGTGCCCATTTTTCTTGTGCAATAGTTGATTGAAGAATAGTCAATGCTTGCTTAACTTTATAGTGACATA